TTTTTTTTTTTTTGTGGAGGCTGCAATAGTACACTTAACACTCATCCCCGTAAATTAAATGATCAAAAAAGGTGTCCAGGTAGGCTTGGCAAACCTGCAACATTTTCGCTGTAGGTTCCTCTTTACGCTGTTTTTCCGTGGGCGTGAGCAATCGCGGAACCCAGTGGGCGGGGGCCATGATCCCGAGCAAATCATTGGGCGTGTTCAAATCCCTGAACGCGTTGTGACTTGTGACCCAGGCCCCTGTCAAGACGACAGGGGCCTGGGTTGGTATCGCAACGCGAATATCGTTGATAGTCTCATTTTGTTGCCGCCAGTAAGACGAACTTTATGAATGCCCCTCGTATAAAAGCCAGTACATCTCTGCACTTTCTGCTACTGGAGAACACCATTCAGTCGGCTCATGTATTCAGACTTGACCTATTTTACGTAGAATCAAGATACATTCGCACAGGACCGTTTGACTCTATTATGGTGACTTACGTTCAATTATTGCGAGTCACAAGGACAATCGTGTTTTTTATTAAGCACGCCGAGATATTCAATCAGCAGCTCGGCCCGTAGCATATGCAGCATGGACGGGCCGGTCGCTCCCGGTTGTATTGCAACGTGACGTAGATAACCCTAGTCAAACGCTACTGTGAGAATCAAACATCTTTCTTTGTTGTCATTTAAAGCCTATTTCTGACAAAGCACATTTTTCAAAGAAGTTCAGATACAGTACCCTCCCGATCTAATTCTTAACGGAAAAATTTGTACTTGTTTTACTTCTTTCGGGGTGCATAGACGTGGGCGGTCCGTATATAGTCTCCGTAATTTCCTGCCAGTACGTCTTGGAGTAAGGTCTTCGAGATTTCCTACCCGCCTCTTTGCACGGGTGCTTGTGTCAGACGGGGATAACTAATGCGGCTTAGGAAAGGCTAGAGAAAAATAAGAAGAACTACGTAACAGCAGCCGGAAAGATTGCAGAACGCCATCCTGCGCGGTTTCCGTGCATGGAGTACAGGAAGGTACTCGCTATGACCGGAGTAAATAATTTTTTGCAGTAGTGAACAGATATATGGTCTGTACAGCGTGTCCCCAAAAAGAAGTATGCCGTGCTTTTTTAACTCTAAAAATGAATTACGAATGGCCTAACGCTCATTCTCTTCCCAGACGTAGCGTTAGAGTTCCGAACCAGGTGCCGAAATTTCAGATCTAACCGTTACGTGATTCAAAAGTTATACATGATTTTTCTTAAATTTTAATGGGAAAATGATGCCAGATCTTTTAGGTTTACGCCATTTATCACCAGGCATTGGTAGTAATAGTAGTAATAGTAATAGTAATCTTTAATAACTAATTCTTAGAGTCAGGATCAAGTTCCAGGTCTTGTCAAAGCCTCAAGGGCTTGTGGGACTAGACCCAGCAGTTGCAGCAAGCTTATTGAAAATGTTCACATTGTCACGTACACACACACACACGTACAAACACGAATCTCACACCGATGACATCTTCTGCTCCAGGCGCAAGTTCACATTTCTGTCGGTCTTGAAAAAGTGCAGGAAAACACGTAGTCTCATCAGAAAATAAACGCACACATAGGCAAATACAGTAGCCCGAGAGTACAATGAAGACCGTAGTCGTATCGGAAGCAGGAGCGAATTGCCAAGGCCAACTTACTTCCTAAAAAAAAAAAAAAAAAAAAGGACGCGCACGTTTTTTTGCAGTATTGCTTTTCTTAAGGAAAAAAGAAGCTTTTTATACTTTCCAAAAAGAAGAGAATGAAAGGTATGCGCAGTCACAGTTACTTTGAAAACTTACTTACACGATTACTTTCATAAAAAAAAAGTTTTTCATGTTTTTTTTCATATTTGCATCATGAAAAAAAATCCTAGTGAGGTACAAGCTATTTCATACAATCACGTTTTTAATGATAGCTCGAAACGTGTAAACAAAAAAGTGAACTGAAAAGATTACCTTATAAAACTAAGGTAGAAAAAAAGAAGATGGATGGTCACTGTTTTCGCACATTCGAGAACATGCTTCTCAGACATTTTTTCAACATTTTGTTTGAGTTAATGGAAAGCAGAGATTCTGGAAGACCATTAAAAATTTTCGGGACATAAAATGTGCGCAGACTTTCACCATAGTGAGTTCTCACCCTAGGAGTGACGAAACGTGGAACAGATCTGAGTTCACGAGATGGAGTAGACGCGAGTTTGAAATCACTTTCCCAGAAATGCCGCCAAACGACAGTTTGGAGGAAAAGCGAGTAAAAAGACGGCAACTCAAGTGAAATGAAGAGGTTAGCATTGGATGAAAAGTCGCTGTTGTATGCGACACTTTTTAGAATCCCTGTTAAAACTCGGTCAATTCTTAAATGCCAGGAGAGTGAACAATTGGAAAAGACAGTTATGCCGTACCTTAGTACGCTGTAAGCTAAGGCGTGCATTATGTTCCTTCTAACTGACAATGGTATAAAACCTTTAACGTGGTACATCATGCACGACACGCTCCTCAACCGTTGACATACGTAAGACATATGAGTGTCCCATGTAAGATCACAATCAAAGTGAATACCTAAGTACTTTACTGAACTAACATATTTAACAGGTCTACAATTACAACATGGACAATTGGAGCTGTGAAGGAATAGTGGAAAAGCCAAACTGACATTTTTTAAAGGATTACGGAAGCAGATCAGTTTTGTTTTCGAAGCATTTACACGTAGCTTTTTTGCCGAAAACCAGTCAATAATTTTGGTTGCGTCTGCCTGAAGCATTTCCATAGCACGCTGGTAAACTAGGTGCCGAGAAAACAAAAGAGTGTCGTCCGCATATTGAAAAATTGTTGAATTTGTCGTTGCCGCAGAAATGTAATTTACGTAGAGGTTGAATAGTAAAGGAGAAAGAATGGAGCCCTGGGGAACTCCAGAAGTAAGGAAAACTTGAGAGCTGCGGACATTGTCTACTCAAACAACCTGTGTACGATTTGAAAGAAAACTCTTGAGCAATGTATGAAATGGTCCCCGAAAGCCGATTCTATAGAGTTTGTCAAAGAGGATGTTGTGGTTCACGGTGTCAAACGCTTTGTCTACATCAACGAAGAGGGCACACACATACATGTTATCGTCGAAGGAAGAGTGCACAATATCTGAGAATTTCTCAAGGAGATTAGTTGTACTACGACCAGCAACAAACCCGTATTGACTTGGCGAGATTAAATTGTATTTGTCGAGAAAACCGGACATAACAATAAAATATGTTTTTCTAATATCTGTGAAATGCAAGATAGTATAGAGATTGGCCTGTAGGATGACGCTTGGTTTTGTGCGCCACCTTTGAAAAGAGGAACAACTATGGCTTGTTTTAAGTCATCAGGCACATTACCAGTTTCTATAACATTATTTATAAGAACGAGGAGCACGCTTTTTAAAGAGCCATAATTCCGACTCAAGTCTCTAACGTTAAGGCCGTCTACACCCGCCGACCTGAATCGCTTAAATCCAAACAAGTAGGACCGCAACTCAGCTTCTGAGAGAGAAGGAAGGAAAGCAGATTCATTGTGAAACGGAGTTCCGGGTGTCGAATCCACCGCGCTATCAATTGGCACAGTAATAGAGTTAGCGAAAAAATTATTAAACGAGTTGACAGTAGTCGCCATATCAGTCCCAAAGTGTTTGCGTAATGTCTCAGTTACGTTCTTTTTTAGATAGCCACGACGCTCATTGACGACAGTCCAAGTTTTCCTGGAGTCCGAACGAGCGTCCGATATTTTTTTAGCGAAATAGGTTCTCTTCGTTGACCGAATGAGGGCATTGACTCGATTTCTTTGCATCTTACATTCTAGTTCGAGAGAGGCATTGTTAGGGGACCTCCGAAACTTCTTCCACAGTTTTTTCTTGGTGACTTATAGCTTCAAGAATATCTGGGGTGAGCCAGGGCAGTGAGGGTTTGCGTTTTTTAACATATACAACGGTCTTCGATAACTCCCGGAAATTTCTAATGATGTCTACAAACATTGAGTACAGGTTCATGCTGTTAACCGAGGATAGGAATTCATCCCAATCATATTCTTTAATTAGTCGATCAAAAGTGTTGAAGTCAACCCGCTCTAATCGACACGCACTTTCGAAATTATTACCTTTTCTGGAGGGAAAAACACATTTACATGCGACAAAATAATGATCTGCAAGCTTTTGTAAAATGACAGCGGAGTGTATGGAAGCATCTGGAGCTTATACGTTTACATGATCTAGGCAGGATGATACCAGATTTTCATTTAATACTTCTTCGCGGGTAGCACTCTGAATGGTAGGTATGATTCCATGCTCGGCAAGTAGTGATAAATAATCACAAACACAATTTTGGAAGTTTTCAGGGTGTCAATGTTGATATCTCCCACCAAATATAAATGTGCTTCATTAGACAATTCTCTCAAATTTTCCCTCAGCTCCTCTAAGAAGCCAGAGCAGTTGGACGAAGGAGGTCGGTAAAGAGCAAGCAAGCAAACCGCATAGTTAGAATTAGAAACCTTTAGCATCAAGCTCTCCGAGTGTTGAAATGTGACATCAGTTTGAGTTGACCATGAGTTCTTTATAAATACGCCGATTCCTCCTCCTCTAGTAATTGGCCGTGTATAAAAGAAATTTTGAAATCCTAAAATATTAAACTGTGACAGATGATCAGCACTGACATTGATTTCTGTTAGCACAATTGCATCAATTTGGTCCCGAATTTGATCAACAACTGTCTTAAATTCATCCCAGTATTTTCGAATACTGCGAATGTTTATGTGTAAGACCATGAAAGAGTCGGTTGAAGAAGAAGAAAACGAGCTATTAAACGAGAAAAAATCGGCGTACTGTAAAAAACTAGCCATGTCGGTTATGTGATTAGGTCCAGGTCACTTCTCTGCTGAATCCGTACCGGAGAAGCGCCCTCATCTTTTTTGGCATAAATTCGAGCATTTTTGACCCACACAAATTTGTAACCGCGTTCTTTTCCAAGAGTACGTGCCTGCCAGAAAAGTTCTCTGTTGGTCTGAGTTAAGCTGTCGTTGAAATACAGTCTTTCGGGTGGATTGTCCCGAGAAAATTGCCTGAGCTTGCTACGAGCTTGCATCCATTTGTCTTTAGTGGCTACAGATGTAAACTTGACCAAAATAGGTGGTTTTATGGATCGTTTGCCTGGTAGCCTGAAAACCGACACGACATCAGCTGGTTGATGTCCCGGAATTCCTAGCTTGTCTGCCAGCCCCGCTAAGATGGAAGGGAGAGCCTCGTCGGGTTTGACGGTCATTCCATGAATTTATTTATTTATTTATTATTTATTACAATACCCTCAGGGCCAAAAGGCATTACAGAGGGGGTGGGGCAACCAAAAAATGAAAAAAAAAGGGTACAAAAAGAGTGCAAACACAGCCGAGAATAAACATCAACAGCTCGAAACACAGCACTCTGGTCAAAAAATAAACAAAAGGACAATCACGACAAAAGGTGAGCAGATAAGGTTTTTTTAAATAAATCAATTGAAGGTATATTAACAAACGAAGCGGGAAGGTGGTTCTACTCAAGAGATGTTTTTGGAATAAACGCGTTCAAAAAGGCTGATGTGTTACAATGAGGGACACCAACTTTGAATGGATGATCGAAACGCGGAGAAATGAATGGGGGCTCAAGGAATAGTTTATCTTTCAATGACGTGTTAGAATGATAGATCTTGTAAAAGAGGCACAAGCGCGATATTTTGCGACGTAAAGAGAGGAAGGGTAGGGATAGACTGAGTTTGATGGAGGAAACGCTTGCTGTACGATGATAGTTAGAAAGTATGAAACGAACTCCGCGATTTTGCATGGCTTCCAGGTTAGTTATAAGTGTCGAGTGACCGGGATCCCAGATTGCAGCAGCGTATTCTAATTTTGACCGGACCAGGGAGTTATAAAGCAGTAATTTCAAAGAAACGGGGGCCAGTGTAAAATTTCTTTTTAGAAAACCGAGCATAGAGTTAGCGTTAGCAATAATGTGGTCAATGTGGGTTTTCCATGACATGTTATAGGTAATATGGACACCCAGGTATTTGTAACAGGTCACAGACTGAAGTTGAGTGTTACAAATTGAGAGAGGTGGAAGAACCGTGTGACGACGAGAAACTCTCATAGACTTGCACTTGTTAATGTTAAGGGACATCTGCCACAATTCACACCATTGGGATACAGCACACAAATCATTTTGGAGGAGGAGTGAATCGGATTCATTAGTAACTTCACGATATATCACACAGTCGTCGGCAAATAAGCTAATAGAAGAGGATACACACGTAGGTAAGTCGTTAATGTAAATAAGAAACAATAAGGGCCCCAGAACGCACCCTTGGGGGACACCGGAAGTGACTGGACTTAGAGAAGAGTTAGCATCATTAGTATACACGAACTGAGAACGATTAGTAAGAAAACATTCAATCCAAGACAAAATATTAGGATCAACATGCAAGTGACTGAGCTTGAAAAGTAAAAGTCTGTGAGAGACTTTATCGAATGCCTTACAGAAATCTAGAAAGACGCAATCAACCTGGGAACCACGGTCGAGGATGGAAAGTAGGTCATTAGTGAAAGTGATAAGCTGGGTTTCGCAGGACAGTGATTTGCGAAAACCGTGTTGTGATGCAGTAAAAAGAGAATTTGAATCAAGAAAGTTAGCAAGATGTGAGTAAATTACGTGCTCTAAAATGTTGCAGGGAGTACTGATAAGGGAAATGGGTCGATAATTGGAAGGGTTATGTTTACTGCCTGATTTGTGAAGCGGAATCACCTTCCCAATTTTCCAGTCGTCTGGTAAAACGCCAAGGTTAACAGATTGTTGAAATATTTTGCAAAGAAAAATGGAAATGTAATTTTTAGTTCTCTTAAGAAATTTCGGTGTGATATTGTCAACGCCACAGGAGGAAGATGGTTTTAAATCATCAATACGTTTTATAATTCCGTCATAGTCAAAAGCAAGTGGATCCATTTGAAAAAAACCATATCTCGGGAAAGTACCAGGGTAAACAGGAACAACATCACTAGCGAATTCTTTGACAAAATATTCATTAAAAACGGAAGCACAACTTTGACTAGGAACTACCACGCCATCATCACATGTCAGCGAAAGCACTGTATTTTTAGACCCGCTATCCATATTCCAAAATTGTTTAGGACTGTTAGTTAGCATAGAGGGGAGGGTTACAGAAAAAAATGTTCGCTTGGCCTCCGCGATAGCGGTCTTATAGGAACAAGCTGCTGCGCTATAAGCTTCCCATCGTTCAGAAAGTCCAGTAAGCTTGGCAGTCCGGAAAAGACGTTTCTTTTTATTAGAAAGACGCTTAACAGATCTGTTGAACCAGGGCGATAAGTGGTTAGAAATGATAGGCCTACATGGGATTTCCATAATATGTTGGCGACCGCGTTGGTCAGCGTCGTTCATCTCGGCTTGGAGGCTTTGGATAGTATGTGCCTGTTCGCAAACCGTGTCCTTTAGTGAAGCCACTTCCGTACGCAGCTCGTTCATGTCGGTCGCATGAGCAGACACCGTGGCGAGGAGGCTATCGTATTTCTTTCCTAGGAAGGAAATGGAAGTTTGAACCTCCTCCACAGTCACTTTCATGAGATCTATGGTAGGCTTGAGGAGCAAGAGCTCATTCACCTTTGCGGGAAGCTCGAGCAGTAAATTTACGCTAGCCTTCAGAGAAAGTATTGAATCTAGCTTTTCGTTGATGGTCAGGATTTGCGCCGTGAGTGTCGTGGTTTCGCAGGACGAAATCGAGTCAGAGCTAGCATCGACCCCGTCTATATCAGCACGATTGTTCTTAGAACGGCAAACTTTGCACCTCCATTTTTCTTTTTTGTCGGGGCTCATGGCAGTAAACGTGGACTCAGCAATGCCGGAACACGTTTTCCCGAGATGATAGTTATGCTCGCAAACTGAGCATATCATGAGTCTACCATCAGGCAAAATGCCTTTTTGGCAAGCGTCGCAAACAAGGGACATAATCGTCGAACTAAATGGCATTAAAATAAGTAGAAAAAATTTAAGTGCTGTAAGCACACCTAGGCAGGTTACACCAGCGAAACAGTATATCAAGAGCAGCTTGGCACGGTCACCGAGAAAATGGAACTCCTCAAAGCACTGATGGTCGGTTACCGGCAAGCCTCGTCCGTGGATGTTCGCTGATTGGCCCAGGGCTGATGTTGAGTCGCAGAAAGTCGCCGAACGTCACGGATGGGCATGGGCAACGACTGCTGACTGTGTGGTCGATGTACGATAGTGGCGGTGATGAACGGGGCTGCAGTCGCGATCTTGGAAGCAGTAAACCGGAAGCCACGACTGGATGTCGATCCTTGAGCCGGTGAGATGAGGTCGCCTAACTGCCCGTTAAACCATTTAGCAGGCAAGTTAAAGGTCATCGAATAAAGATTTTAAATTACATTTCTCAGAGCGGTTAGAACGAATGCCCGGACATTTCACTTCTTCTTCTTCTCCAGCTATCATTTTCATATTGAACATTTTGTGAAATTTATAACAATAAAAAAAAAAAAACACGCAGGAGATAAGGTGAAATTTAAACATCTTGATAACCTGAACCTTAGAAACGAAAAGTGGACGAGGCACGCACAGGTCTCAAAAGACGCGCGCGTGTGTTGTGTGTGTGTGCGCGCGCGCGCGTGTGCGCGTTGTCTACTTTTTGTTCCCAAGTCTCAGGTGTTCAAGATCCTAAAGGCTCAAAAAATTTGTCATAAAATTTTTTAATATTATAACAGTTATTTCTGAAAGCTGGTCTCTTTTCCAGACCGCTAACGCCACATTTCCGCAAGGACAAAATGTTTAGGGATGTGTAGTTCTTTTTGCAGTTAAAAAAACAATACCTTTTTTTTTTTTTTTCGGGGAGACCCTACACATGTTTCGTTTTTTTTTTTAATTTACCCCTTTTTTACACGACTGCGCTCCGCGGCAATTGGCATTAATATGTAAACCCATATGGTGCAGACTCAATCTGGGATTCTTTGGCCCAATTTTATAATCGCTTCAGATCTTCCACCAACGTTGTATCAAATATTACGATGGGAAACTTTCAAGATGAATCCACTTTATAATTAAAGATACATTTTTGTGTCAAAATATTTCCGCGATGTTCGCTTTCGTATTCAGCTATTTCGGGGCTGCAGAATCATCGAAGAGCAACTGGATAACTACGAGTTTAATGACGCATCTTTTAACACTAGTAGAATAAACAAACGTAAATATAAAAAAGATTTGCGATCATTCTTATAGAAATGGTTCACCAGAAAAATAGACACTAACATTTTTACACGGCACGGTTACCTACAGGCACGGATAATAAAAAGATTTGTTATTGTACAATTCATTATGACGATCCACGACAAATTTTGTGAATGACAGGTCATGTTCATAATGATTTTTGCATGAGTACCGAACTTTTTGAGTGTGGAAAGTGTATCCCTTAGCAAAACGTAATGCGTCTAAAATATGCCGAAATGTACTTGCTTTAAAAATGCTTTAAAAAACGCTAAAGACATATTTACAGAGTTTTTACTCAATATTAAATATATGTGTATCAATATGCGAAAATATACGGTTCTTAAAAGTTCATTCCAAGCACACTTTTAACACGCCAAGATGCAAACTTAATATATTCGGAATAGATAGGAAAGACTCTTCCATTCTATCCCATACTTCCGTGTTTCAGTCTCGCCTTTGGCAACACTGAACATCTTTGAGAGAGTTTGGCACTTTTTGAACGTGCGGACAGTCTAGCATAGTGACATCGAATTTCGGACCCAAACTCAATTAGGCACGCCAGGCATGCCGTGACCCGTCATCACAATGAAAGCGTTTCTCGTTGATGTAAGCTTCTTTGGTGTTGTACACACAATCACGCGCTTAAACTTACTGATCTATAACAATCTATGAAAAGTATATGATCTTGAATTCATTCCTCATTTGTCAAAAATTAAACTCTAATGGTTTGAATATTATGTCCCAAAACTCACCACCGCCGAAATTCAGTGCCGCTACGAGCGCGATCTAATGGTGAATTCCACTCGTAGATTTGAAGCGCTTTCCACAATCCGCGAGGGAGACGAAATTCCGCTCCGTCAGACCCGCTCCGAATCGACGAAGAGAAGATGAACTCGCCTTTTTGGAGCGACCCCTCGCCCCCCGTTCCCCCCTCCTCTGCCGTTTAAAACGGCCTTTGCTCGAACTTGGCAAGCCCACCAACGCCTCAGCCGACTGATCTTTCCGACGACCAGTGACGACTGTCACTGCTTAGTTGCAGAAATAACACGCGAGGCCGGGCGAAAATGTCCGTACCGTGGAGCCCGTGTCACAAATAATGAGGAAGATGTCCGCGTTCGCCACCGTCACATACCTTTCGGCCACCTCGAAGCTGCGGGGCACGCACAGCGATCGCCGTCGGTGGAGTTCAGATTGCTGGTAAAACTTGAATAAACACAGAGGTAACAAACCATCACAAGCACGGTCGTTGCCTAATCTGTTCTTGCTTTATTGCACGGGAAAACGCCGGCGGCATGCAGTGTAAAAAGGTAAACTACCATTGGCTGCAGAATGAACAGTCCTAACCTTGCGTCTGCCTCCGGATTTTCTGTCCCGTTCTTTTTCTTCTTCCTCTCACGATCACAAATGTCAGCGCTTACGATTTACCACGCTCCACTCCCAGCTTTGTATCCCTGATCTACGCGAGGTAGAAGCGTTCGAGCCGTCACAATCTCACGTAAACAACCGGCGCATCCGAACAGATCCAACTCGACGGCCCGATCAGCCCGACCGGCCCGGCCCCGGCGACCTGGCCAACCTCGCCGCGCATGCGCACTGTCGATTTAAAAAGGAAATGACGTATGCGCTCTGTCAAGTTCCGGATAGATCTTTGAAATCCCGCGGAGCAAGTTCGGCGGGGCTGGAGGCGCTCCATTGAGCGGGTGTTTCCAGAGATCTACGAGCGGATGATGACCAACTCGAGCCAGATCTGCGAGCGGAATATGCGCGCTCGAAATGGAGCGCTTTTGGAGTGCTTGAGATCTGCGAGCGGAATTCACCATAAGAGAGGCACTGCGAACCCGTGCGCCCGATTTCTAGATTCCATTTTGTTTGAGAAAGCATTTCGCTCAAAAACAACATAAAAAAGCTTATTATAAGGTTTGGTTTTGGAGATAAATACAAGATGACCGATGCTCGGATACAGTGACGAATTTTAGCCATAAAAATGTCAGAGTACGAGGAATTGTGTTTATAAAACAACTGCGCACCGCGAATTTCAACTAGCACAGGGAGAATGGAGTAGTCAACAACAAAAACCTTCGCATCCTGGCAACGTAAAGCCAGCTTTTTCTAGCAGGCGACAGGCTCCGCCCATCGGCTGAACTCTTACAGTATACAAGGCTGCATTTTGGGTTGGATGGTCACAATGTTTACTATTTTTCTATTACTTCAAGCACCATTTTAAGATTATAACCATACCGTTTTAGTAGTATATCCCATGTACATATGATTTTTATCGTTGAAGAACACCTTTAATTCATTTTAAATACACCATAAATACTAACGTAGATAGGTACATTCTGAATACATCCAAACATTTTTCACTTACATTCCCATATATTCCTTGTATGTTAAAAATATGTCATGCAAATTTTTGTTTCGTACTTCTAAATATACATATAAGAGAAGCTCCAACATTATTCCCATATTTTAAAATATATGGAAAATGTGCCCATAGTTCTGTCATATTTCGACATATATGCAAAATATGTGAACATAATTCTGGCATACTTCTGATGCGCTTGACAGTGTATTAGGCATTCATTTCTAATGTAATCAAAACATATAATTTAAGTGTGGACAGAAAGAAAAGGAAATTAAGAAATAATACGACTGTTAAATTAAATCAAACTGTATTTTAAGTATACCCTTTTTTGCTAAGAGACGAACGTATTATACGTGTATGAACGTAATATTCAAGGTTCGTTTCTGGAAACTGCCTCTTGACAACGAACGTTTAGTCTTTAACCCTGCGCCTCAAACTGTGGTTCAAGCGTCATAGCTAAGTGCTTGTAATAAAATACGAGGTATTATCGCCGTGCCCTCATGCTGCTGTGTGCGATACAAATCAGTCTTTCCGTCCTCTCCATTAACAATCGCAGCTTCATGTCTAAGCGTTGTCGTGTACCGAGTCGGGTCGAGTCAAGAGGACCAAAGACAGGAGCCGCAAGAGAACACCAGCTACGCCGGTAGCCTTTATCGAACCACCACCAAACCTCGAGCCCACACGCGCGCATCGCAACGTACACGCGCATTAGTCCCGCGCTACCCGAGTCACGCTCATCTGCCAGTCAACACAGCCAGCCAGCGCTTGTGCCATATAACGCAAGATGCGTTCCCACTTATATGACAAGCGTGACATCTTTTATAGCGCACTAGAAAACGGTTTATCCGAAAGTCATTGGAGCTAAACCTTGGCTGAAACCTGATATTCAAGACAGAGAAGTTCTCGATTAATTCATAAAGCGTTTTTCAGCACGACCGAAAAAGTGACTGGGGCGGCGGTGTGCTCATCGCAGCAAAAAGTTATATATCTCCTTTTGATATTTGTTCAGCGAATCATGACTTGGAATTAATTGACTTATGTATTCGTATGCCATCGAACAAGGTTATAATAGATGTATGCTATAGGTGTGATTCCGTGTTGTTGGAGTCTATCGTTAAATTGGTAAAGAGTTTTTCGGACTTTATTTTTTTTTTTTGCAAAGACGTCGGAGTTTATCGGAGTTCATTATTGTTTGAATCTTATTTATCCAAAATTTGGAGTTTATTTTGCAGTG